GGCATAGCCCATCGCTTCTCTGAATTACTCAAGCCCCTTCAACACGACAAGGCAGCAATCCATGAAGGATAACAATAAATTAAGTACTGACAGAATACTAGTAGGAGGCCTATCACTTAGACCAATTCTTGATAGATCATGGACTATATGGAAAAGTTCCACCTGCTGATTTGAAGCTTCACTTATCCGTACAGCGAAGTAAGCTCGACTGGCAGCCCTCACCCTGGTAAGGTAAAGGTTAGTTGCGATCCTGTCAGCTTTACAATTATAATCCCTTGGGTTTCATCTCCACTTGCACTCTAGCCTTCTCCTACTTTGCTTCATAGCTTGCAGCTGCAGGTTAAATCTGCGAGCATATCCAAAGGGTGCCGTAGTAGGAAAAGTAGTTGCATACAATCCTTAACAAGGAAAATCAATAGTCCTGCTCAGTATATAGCAGCTTCTGATGTCTTCAGTCCTTCTGTTCCTTAATAAGTATAAATATTGAGCTGGAGAGGCTGTACTGTCACCATTTTTAGAATCTTAGCTAGTTTCCAAAAACCTTTTTCTGCAATATCTTTGCTGTTTTGCTAGAGGTCGGTTGTCCCAATTGCTACAATTTTATGAAACATTTTCCACTAATGCTAGAGTTTCATCTATCCCTGACTTATCTATTTTACTCTGAAGCCAAATATAACATGGAGTGAATCAGGGAGTTGTTGTAGATCACAAGCCGAATATGAGTCAACAGTGTGATGTGGCTACAAAAAAGGCAAATGCTATTTTAGGTTGTCTTAACAGAAATATCTAAATCCCGTGAGATACTAGTTCCCCTCTATTCAGCACTGAATAGGCCTCACCTTGAGTTCTGTGTCCAGTTGTGGACACCACACTTCAAGAAGAATGTCAACAAATTGGAACAAGTTCAAAGGTGGGTAACAAGGATGACCCAGGGGGTTGGAAACCAAGCCCTGAAAGAATTGGGCATGTTTAGCCTTGAGAAAAGAAGGGAGATATGATAGCACTTTTCAAGTACTAGAAAGGCTGTCATACAGAGGAGGGGTAGGATCTGTTCTTAATTATCCCAGAGTGTAGGACATGCAACAATGGGCTCGTTACAGGAAGCCAAATTTTGGTTGAATATCAGGAAAAAACTTCCTGTTAGAGCAATACGGCAACAGAACCAATTACCTTGAGAAGTGATGAGTGTTCCAACACTGGAGGCATTCAAGAGACAACCACCTGACTGAGATCCTTTGATATGTGTTCCTGCACTGAGCAGGGGGTTGGACTCCATGGCCTTCTAGGCCACTTCCAACTTCATGATTCTACAATTCTAGGGTACAGCTACACTGGGAAATAATTCTAACGGCTCTTAGGTTACTCTGAGAGCAAGGCTTGTGAGATGTGTGTTTGACTGCCGCTTAGTCTGTTTGTGCCATCTCTTCTTGGTGAGCAGTGTGGCCATCTCCAAAGGGATTGAGTGAAACAATCACTTTGTCACTCTGCCATGCCTCTCTCATGCTCTTGTCACCTTCAACTTGGTTCCGGAACAGTGTTGTTGTTTTTGGGTTTTGTTTTTTTTTAATGTTAGGCAGGTGATACAGCACTGATTTGAAATGACAATGGTCAGCCTAGTGCAGAGCAGAACAAAGTCCATGCTGAAACTGTCAAGGTGCCCTCAGAAACCATCCCACTCACTCTCTGCAGTGATAGAGGCAATTATGTATGCTATATGCAGTGCAAGCGAACTAGCTTCAGAAATACTGCTAGTAGTGAATCAAAATACATAAAAAGAATACCTATGGGGGGGAAAAGGCTGGGTTTCCTTGCACTTCACTTTATGTCATGTAGTCGCTGATACAGTACTTCAATTTTAACCATGACAACTCCAACATAAAATCCAGGATAAATGACAATGTCATGGCACCCTCAATTGCAGATCACTTGTTTTCATTTCCCTTTTACAAACAATTTCCAGGGTTGTTCTAAACTCATTTTTCCACCTTGCAGCCTTTAGATCAGTGGTTCCCAACCTTTTTAAAAGCACAACCTTTTACAATAGCCAAGTAACCTGCGACCCCACCACCATATTTTCATAAATAGGTCATCATTGCTGGTCCCCAATATGGCAACACCTTAAATCTGCTGCTGCACACCTTCCTACTGTTTCTGCCTCTGATTCCTCACCACTAATTCCATTCTTCAAAACTGGGGAGGGAACAGGCTGGGGAAGGTTAAAGATAGGGTGAAGAGAAGGCAAAGGGCTTCAAAGATGGGCCAGGGGTGGAAGGACATTGCAGTACCCAGGGAAAGGGCAGACCTTCACACAGAGAGGATCCTCCTCAGAAACTTGTACCTGCTGTAGAAGGGTGTGTGTTTGTTTTTGCATCCATGCATACACATACACAGTAACTTTAATATCCTGCTCTAAAAAAAATCAAGGACAGAATTATTTGACATGGACTGTGACACATATGTGTCCCACAAACCCCCAGAAAACAGTTTATGACCCTCTTGGGGATCATGACCTCCCTGGTTGAGAAACAGTGCTTTAGATGAAGGACAGAACATACATGGGGGAAGGGTTTGTGGTTTGCTCCATTGCAGTTGGACTTCTCTTAAGCAGGGAATGGCTTAATTCCCACCCATATAACTCCATCATGATTTCCCCATAGTAGGTTTACATGATATTGCCCTCACTATCATGATGAGAAATAATTAGGTAGTGCCAACTTAAAAAAGAAGCTGCAGCAGCAGGTGAACTTATTTCCTTTTTTAAAAAAAATATCCCTACTCTAGGGCTTTTGGGGCATTGTGAGGACTGAACAATTTTTGACAAACTAACCCATAGCCTTCTGGAAGCACTGATGAGACTGAAAGACCCGGTTGCAGGAGATTGTGCAAAGCTAGCTGAGAGAGGTAAAAAGGCATTATCTATAAATCTGCTTGAAAGAGTAGCTGATGGAGAGTAGCTAATCCTTCTTTTTTATCTTCCCTTGTCAAAATATTGAACATATCACAGAACATAAACTTAAGGGTGTCCCAGGAGTATAGAAATATGACAGTTTTAAAGGGTACTGCTGAATGTCAAAAAATGATTTGTTGTCCTTATCTTTGAGGTGGGGGGAGGATCATTTAGTATGATATAGAATCATTTAAAAAAAAAAAAGCCCTTGCTCATTTGTCCATATGCATTAATCTTACTATATGCTGAAGTCTATCCTAAGTCATTTGTGGGTCTTCCTCAGTAACATAAAGCATGGCTTAATTAATCACATACTTGAGCCTTCCACATTCATCTCTTATTCGTTGTCTCCCAGGCAGAACTGAAATAGTGTTCCTTTCGAATCAGGCTTATGGGACAGCTTAATTTGTATTATACAAAGCAATCTGTTAAGAGTAATGAGTATGGAAGGCCTAGGAGGTCACTGCATGAATTCCCCGGAGAACCCAGGAAGGAAGTTGAAATCAATTTGGCCGGGTCACTTGCCACAGTGAAAATGGGTCTTTCTTTCCAGGACAGCTATCTCTCGGACACAAGTAATAAGCCCTTCTTGAAATGTAATTATAATTACAAGCAGTATAGGGGTTTTCTATCTAGGGTTCTGTTGGAATGAAGGCATGCATATGTATGCCTATATGCAAGCCAAACCCTTGTCAACACTTGGTATAAAGCAATCTCCTCTTTGAGAGATTTCTGCATTAACTCTCATAGCCTTGCCATCCAACAGATCTCTTGTAACAGGATTTAGCCTTTTTCATGACATTTGCATAATAAGAATGAGGAGGAGGAGAAGGGCTGTTATTCACCTCACCTCTGACCAGAGCTGGGAGTAACTTCTAGCCAAATTACTAGCTACCTGTAATCTCTTTCTGCCAGGAAGATGGTGCTATCTGCATATCTTAAATTGCATTGATGTTTCTTCCGCCAATTTTAACTCTTCCTTAATCTGAATCTAGTCTGGCTTTCTGTATATGATCTGTGTACAAATTGAACAGGGGATAAAATGCACTGACTGCATGTGGAGGATTTGTTTAGGTGTTGCTCCACCCCAGGGTGAAAAGCAACTCCTTGCTCCATGCTGTGTTGTTGTTGTTATTTAGTAATTTAGTCATGTCCAGCTCTTCGTGACCCCATGGACCAGAGCATGCCCGGCCCTCCTGTCTTCCACTGCCTTCCTGGAGTTGGGTCACATTCATGTTGGTAGCTTCGATGACACTGTCCAACCATCTCATCCGCTGTTGTCCCCTTCTCCTCTTGCCTTCACACTTTCCCAACATCAAGGTCTTTTCCAAGGAGTCTTCTCTTCTCATGAAGATGGCCAAAGTACTGGAGCCTCAGCTTCAGGATCAGATAGTCAACCTTTGATACTAATCGCTAGAAGCACAGTTCCAATTCATCAGGTGATAGTAGAAAACGATAAAGGGCAAACACTATTTCAATTTGCAAGTGACAACCAACCTACATCAATGAAAGTGCCACAGTGAAGGGATGCATGGTTTGAGAAATCATTGCATGGTCAGTACCCCAGTTACCTCCTGGATAATAAAGAATACAAATGTCCATAAACAACACTATCTTGTGGGCTAAATTAGGTCACTTCCAGCAGAAACACAGAAATTCTACTTAAACAGAATATGTCAACCTGACACACAGATACCTGACAGACAACTAAATGTGGCTCACCTGGGAGGCTTTGCTAAACTTATAGACTCTTTCACAGCTTCCTTTTCCTGCCCTTGTGCTTGCTGGTACTGTAGTTTTCTTTCTCAACAGGAGGCTAGGTGGAGCTAGGCCTAGCAAAGCCTTCCAGTTAAAGCCTTTCTTGCAGGTGAGCCACATTCAGGCATCTGTCTGTTTGCTAGGTAGTAGAAAGCCCAGAAGGGAGAATTACGGGGATTTTGCTCCAAGAAATCTGAATATCCCGTCCCCAATTATATCATATTACTGTAGTATGAAAGGAGAGGGAAACTAAAAGAGAGATAGAAAGAACCAAATATTCTTCTTCTGTTTCTATTGTGGGTGTTGCCAAATTGAAATCAGGTGTTGAAAAAAAATATTTATGTTCAAAAGCATATATTTCTTTTCTTTTTTTACTTGCATTCATGTCTTACTGGTACTTGTAATAGCTGCAAAGCAGGCAGTAAAGTGTTTTCACCTGACATTTCCCATCCTCCAGTTGTCACATGGGATGAGTTGGACAAAACACCTTTTTTGGACAAAACAACAAAGAACCTATTCTGTTAATGAGGCGAGATAAGAAGATCCTTTTCCCACCTGAACTAAAACAACACAGCCTTGTATTTGTGAGAGCTCAGAAAATCAGGCATTCAGCTTAATCTTTCCTTTCTCAGAATCAAGCATTTTATTATGTGCATTTCTCTAAAGACCTTCAGAAAGTCTGATAGAACAGTACATATCCTCTACTTCTGGGTAAGGCCTGTAGGGCATTGTTTTTTAAATGAATGTAAAAAGAAGGCCTAATTAATTTCCCTAGATAGCTGAAGTCTATTGCTTCTGCATGAAATGTGCCTAATCCCAGCCTGCCTATGCCTTCTAAGAACAGAAGAAATGCTTTGCCAGAGCAGACCATCTATTTCCATTAGAAACAAGGAAGAGTTTCTTTTTTTTCCCTGAGTATGGTTCCCAGAATCCCACAGCTAAATTCTGGGAATGGCCATCCAAACATTCTTATCTCTGCATTCAACGTTTTGCTTCCAAGAGTGGCCGGCCAAATCTTCCAGCATAGCCTTTCTTACTGTTTCCTTTTTCATGTGGTCCGAATTTATCCAAGGCATTTTCTTGCCAACGTGATGCTTTTGCCCTCATTCCATTTGGAGAACTCTACCAGACCGGCAGTTGAATCTTATTTCCAGCCCAGCCATATACCAGAGGGCAGCAGCATAGCTTAGAATAATCAGAGAGGGGAAGGGGAGAAAACATGCTGCTCCAAGCCTCACCGTATCGGATGACATCGCTGGCCATACAGGAGTTTAAACCCCACTTTCCACCACACACTTGAGTGAAGAAGCCACAGAAGAAATGTAGTAGGATTCTATGCAAATGTTCCCCAGCCATTCAGGAAGTCATGATCCTCTGTTTCACTCCACCAGGAAACGTCTTCCCTGTTGCTCTATAAGGTCTTGATTTGGTCTTTGGAACATTCATGGAAGTGTTGGCAGTGTTTTTTTATTTTGCTTTGTTCTGTTTTGTTTTTGCCCTCAGTTTTAGGTACCCTGTTTCCCCGAAAACAAGACCTAACTTGAAAATAAGCCATAGTATGATTTTTCAGGATGCTTGTAATATAAGCCCTACCCCAAAAATAAGCCCCAGTTGAGTGAAACCCCACCCTCCACCATTGTGCAGCATTGTGCAGCAACCAGAAGAAGATGACAAGACTGTATTTAGGAAATGTAGATTGTTGTACATAAAAAAATTAAAACATCCCCTTAAAATAAGCCCTAATGCATTTTGGAGCACAAATTATTATAAGACCCTGTCTTATTTTCGGGGAAACACGGTAGGAATGTCTCCCCATAAAATACCTCTGTGTGATAATGTCATAAGCTGCCACCTTACAAAATTATGTCCATGGTAAAGGTGCCCAAGTATCCTACTTCTACAGTGGATACTTCTCTGTTTAAAGATGCTTTCTATCTGAAGGGCTGTGCAGTCCACATCCAGGCTTAAAGTTGAAGAACAAGAAGAAAAGTAGGCAGAGGTCTGCTGGTGTGTGCAAGTACATGTGAGTATTTTAGATTTGGGAATGTTGTGCAAATCTGTATCCTTTTGTGTTTTGGGCGATGCAGTAACTGGTCACTCATCCCTTGATGCCTACTCTTTCCTAAGGAGCTAACTATTCACTGAAGAGAAGGATGACAGCTCTGGCGAGCCTTTTCTTCTGAAACCTCATTTCTTGACTGAATCGGAATACCCTCTCTTTGCTTCCATGTTCTTTCCAGCCCAGCCTCCTTCCCTTCACCAACTTTACTAGTTAATGATAATTGGGTTTCTTGTATTTTTCATTTGTTTGCTTGCTTTCAAGTTAGAAGGAATTTACAGTATGGTCCTGTACACATTTTCTCTGAAACAGATCACATTGAGTTCAGTGGAACTGTTTTCCAGGTAAAGTGGGCACAGGATTCTTGCTGAAATACTTAATCCTACGAATATAAGAGCAGTTTCTCTCTGTGTAAATAGCAGGTAGAATTACTTTTCTCTCTTGACTAGGTATAACCACTGGTTTGGTTTGGTTGGCTATCTGCTTTTGATTTTTATTTTGATTGTATGTACTTTTTAAACTTTTTACACTGTTGGTTGGATTGAAGGGCCCTATTGATGGTGGAAGGTGTAATAGCAATATTTTAAATAGTTTAAACAACATAATCTTAGCTGTGACAACCATTAGTTATGTAAAATGGGATGTAAGGATGCCTTGCTTTATTTAAGTCCCGCTAATGGGCTAGATGCAGTTCCCCCATGCCCCACAAATATTAAAAACAACAACAGTAAAAAAAACATTGCCCTGAAATGTCCCATCACATCCTTCTGGGGACAGGAAGGCAAACATTTTGCAGGTTATATTAGTTATAGAGAGTAATGCTGCAGTAAGGTCTCTATAGGCTTAAATAACTGGGTGGGGTGGAGGCAGTCTAGCATTGGCAAATGAATCCTGTAGATGGGGGTCAGAAATATTCAGGGCAGAAGTGGTTTTTAAACATTCGCTTTTTGGACGAAAGAGTGGTGGATACATATCTCAGGTCTCATCTCTATTCACTCTGCTCTCAGCCAAATTTGGACCCAAAAGCCAATTGTACACAAAAAGCAAGTGCTGGCTAGACACAGGAGGCTGATCAATATCTTTTGAGCAAATGGGAATGAAAATATGATGGAGAGAAAATTATTTTAGTTGACATCAACGCTGAAGGATGGAGGAAAAGCTGAAATAGCTCTTAATTGATTGTCAATACCACTCAGGAAAATTCAAATTGCTTTAATAGCTAAGAGAAGGGCAGCCTCTGAATTACATTTCCCACACAAGTGTTTAGATTTTTGCTGAGTTTTTTTTTCAAATGTACATCCAAGCTTTTAATGGAAATTGACATTAATTTCAACCTGCCGTGGTCAAGGCTGAGTAGTCTTTAAGATCTGTAGCTTTGTTAGATGCAAGTCACAAGAATTTGTAGTACTTTGAGAGTACCACACAATTTTGGGACTAAAACAGGTCTGAAAGATTATCTAAACTTCAGCGGATACAAAGTACCTCTAGAACTTGGAAATTTACTTTTTGGAAGGATGAACAGAATGGCGTAAGTCCTGTGCAGGTGTTCTTGGTACATATTTACTCAGCAGATGAAGAGGGTAGCATTTGACCCCCATTTCCTTTGTCATCACTTGTGGTCACATGATGAAAGAGGAACTGGACGAAGAGAGACTCTGCACACAAACCAGAATCCTGATTTTGCCTCCTTCTGGCTCATATGGAGAGACTCTATGGCAGTGGTCCTCAACCTTGGGCCTCCAGATGTTCTTGGACTACAACACCCAGAAGCCTTCACCACCACCTCTGCTGACCAGGACTTCTGGGAGTTGAAGTCCAAGAACATTTGGAGGCCCAAGGTTGAGGACCATTGCTCTATGGAACACAGAGACTCTCCCCTTCAGACTTGTTGCCTTTAACATGGGCAAAGTGAAGAGGGAAAGAGTGGAGCCATTATGCTTCCTCCTCAGATGTTGAATAAATATGCTTAGGAGCAGCTGAATAGTACTCTGCTGAAGCTCTCCATAATGAGTCAGTGACAGGACCCATAGCATCAGGCTACCACTACTCCATTAAGAATGGCTTCATCATGCCCTTACATTTCTTCTTCCTTACAGTAATTTTCCAATTTCTGAATAAATCAGTCAAATGTATACTATCACAGTGGTCCCCAACCTTGGGCCTCCAGATGTTCTTGGACTTCAACTCCCAGAAATCCTGGCCAGCAGAGGTGGTGGTGAAGGCTTCCGGGAGTTGTAGTCCAAGAACATCTGGAGGCCCAAGGTTGGGAACCACTGTACTATCACACCAGTGGCAGAAATAACCCCCTGGTGATTAGGTGGATAACATCTCCATATGGTGATATACTGTTGTTATTTTTACTGCTGAGTTTACCATTTTGTATGTTACCACATTATTCTGCCCCAAGAATTGTCTGGATGCTCACACATGTTCAAAAGCAAGAGCTGCTTCCTTAGTGACTTGCAGTGATTTGTTCAAGCATTTTAAAGCAAGTGTTCACAACATAGTACCCAAAGTATTCATAGGACAACGAATAAGAGCAACAACACAGCACTTGATGAGATAGGAACTGTGTGAGCATTTCTGATCCGATTATAGAAGCAAAACAGAGTTGGGACTGATAATGACTTAGATCAGAGACTGCCAGGGAATGCCACAGGTCTTCAAGTAAAGCCAGGAAAAACTAACTGATAGCCTGGAGATGAACTGCGAGCCGAAGTGTATTATATGGAACTAAGTGGATCAAACATCTGATTCAATATCAGGCAGTTTCTTATGTTCCTATGACCCTTTTTCAGGCCCATTCAGACATCCCATCCAGCTTGGGATCTAAAGGGCCCTTTGGGGAGGCTGCTTTCCTCTGTCCTGCTTCCTTCAAAGACTGAGACAGAGCAAGAACCTTGAGGAGCATTCCTTGAGGGTGTGGCTCAGTTGACTGTGTTCCTGTAGGTGGCTTTGAGAGTGGGTCGGAGTCAACTCAGCTCTC